TCTTGCCGAGCTGAGTCGATGTAGCTATGTATATCCGTCCGTCTGTCTGTGCATGTTAATTTGTAATCACTCTCCAGGTCGCAATTATGGTCCGATCCTCAATCCGAAATTTAGCCAAGAGATGGGGTTAGGGTCAGATGGAGATGATCGTATAATATTTAGGGGTTGAAATGGACAAAAACAGAAAAATTTCCTGATTTTTCAATTGCCCTACAAGTCGCAAATATTGACCAATCGACACCGAGTTTAGTATGGGTTAGAGTTTAGGGCTGGTCAGAAGGCTACCATTTTGTTTGGTCATCGGGTTATATTTAGTGGGTTAATTATACCTTAACATTTGTGTTAAATAAAAGTCAAATTTTCCATAAAACCGCGAATATTTTTAATCCCGGCGAAATCACAAATGGTCGAAATGGTCAGTTCTGACCGTTACGTAGGTGCCGATAATAAATATTTCGGATATATATAGGGAAATATATACAATGTGTATATACAAAGGAAGGGGATGTTAGCTAGAATGCTTATATCTCAAGAATGGCTGAACCGATTTTGACAAATTTTGTCAATTCAGAATGCACTCTTGGCATAAAAGTATAAAATTATTTATAAATATGCGATTTTTTTAATTTGACTTTTAATATTGAAGTATACATTTTGTAATATTTTTTCACCTTGCAACACAGGTTGGGGTTATTATATACAGATTGCAATTATCGTCCGATGGTTGAAATGGACCAACAACTAAAAATTTTCCTTATCTTGCAGCCGTTATAAAGGTCACAAATAGAAACCAAAGGACACGAACTCTCGCATGACCACTACTTTTGTGTGAAAAAATACCAATATTTCCATTCTACCGAAACGCTGAAAATAACTTAGAGGCGTAATCCAAAATACACAAAAGGCGAACTTCTGGCATTTTTATGATGATTTCGTTGACGAATATAGCCAAATATCGTAGATAAGCAAATCATATAGATGACTCTACATTTAGAGTTACAGAGGGGCCTCTTGCTTTTGGAGATGGTCGCAAAATATTTAGGGGTACAAATGAACCAAAAACAGAAACCTTTCCTGATCACACAATTGAAGTCAATCGACACGCCTGAGAAGAGAGTTAGGGACAGTGAAGAATTCTAGCATTTTGAATAACCATTGGATTATATTTATCCGTAAAATTGACCACAACAACTAGCAGCACGACGGAGTTGGTAAATATTGGGCAAATATCCCTGATCAAAATGCTAAGGGTAATATCTCAGCAGTGCTCCGTGGCATAATTTCAAAAGCGAAATCTTCCAAAATGGATTTGGATTTATGATGATTTCGTTGACGAATATAGCCAAATGTCGTAGATAAGCAAATCATATAGATGACTCTACATTTAGAGTTACAGAGGGGCCTCTTGCTTTTGGAGATGATCGCAAAATATTTAGGGGTACAAATGAACCAAAAACAGAAACATTTCCTGATCACACAATTGAAGTCAATCGACACGCCTGAGAAGAGAGTTAAGGACAGTGAAGAATTCTAGCATTTTGAATAACCATTGGATTATATTTATCCGTAAAATTGACCACAACAACTAACAGCACGACGGAGTTGGTAAATATTGGGCAAATGTCCCTGGTCAAAATGCTAAGGGTAATATCTCAGCAGTGCTCCGTGGCATAATTTCAAAAGCGAAATCTTCCAAAATGGATTTGGACATAAGGGGGCTTCTAACATATTGTAGTGTTGTAGGGTATCACATGGTCGGCACGATTTTATACCCTCCATCAAACTACGGATGACATAATAAGTTTGATTTTTTGTTTGTAACTCCTTGAAATGGCCATTTAGTCATGTCCGTCCTTTTTCTTTCTGTCCATCGTTGGAAATCACTCTAGCTTCCGAACGAAATAAAATTGGTTAATATAATTTAACTCAAATGTATTTTTGGTCCACAGAATATTTGGCATGGAAAATGACCCATATAGATTCAAGTTTTGGTGTAGCCCTCACATATATTACAGATTTAAGGTATAAGGCTACGATAATTTTTTTTGAAGTTAAGCAAGATTTTTATTTTTCAGTTATAAAATGCTTTAAATAATAAGTAATAAAGAAACCTCTATTTAATTTTTATCACACTCTAGTGCAAATTTTAAAATAAAAAGTAACATAAAGAGCTCCATCTGTATCTCGTTCTTAGTCTGACATTGATTTATGTCTCTGCTAATTACACAGTTGTAGTTGTTTGGAGAATAAAGTAAAGCATTGAACCATAATGTCCACAACTCTTTATAACAGGCTGTCAGTAAAATATTTGCAGGTAAATTAAAACTTCCACAATATGGTGGATGGGTGGGATCTTCATAGAATTACATTCTTAGTCGATTTATGCATATCTACAGGTTGCTTTTATTATTCGATTGAAGGGCGATCAAGGACGAACCCTACTGAAATTAGTAATAATCGGTCCAAAGTTAGATATGGCTTTCATGTAAATCTTCGTCCTATTTGTTTTTATAGTGCACCAAATCTGTAATATTAGCATAAATAGATTGAATTTTGCCACATACGACCAAATTTAGTCTAGAAATAACTTTATTAAATTTGAATTTTGAAACATTTGAAAATCTGCTCCGATACAGCTATAACTCTCATGTATATTTGCCATCCATTTCGGTATTTTATTCCCCCTTAGCCGTAACATGCACTCTATAACAACGATATTTAGCAAAAGGAACCAGATACAGATCGGAAATACATCTGCCAAATTATGTTGAGATTGATTCAGATATGGATATAGCTCTCATTTAAATCGATTTCATGTCTGTTGCACATCAATTGTTTAATATCAACCCAAAATTAATGGATTTTGGTTCATATATAGCTGTAGCTCCGATATACAGGGTGAGATGAAAAAACTGCAGCCAACTTCATACTGCTGTCATTTCCAAGCCACTCGTCCGACAGCTGTTAAAATTATTCCAGTGACATAATGAGCTGTCACTGTTTACAAGCGTACAAAAGCATTTTGGTGAAAATTTTCCAGAAAAAAAGTTAGTCGTGATGCAAATTAAGCGTGATTCTGAATATTTGGCTGGAAAACCACAAGTGGCTATCGTTAGAGCACTCCAGCATTTAAATGTTAATAAATCGTTTGTGTCTCGTACCATCGCTTGTTACCGTGATACTGGTAGCGTAGCCAGACGTCAAGGAAGTGGACGGAAGAAAATAGCAACATCAGCAGAAATGTTTCGTAAAGTAAAGAAGCGACTTGATTCAAACCCGCGTCGCAGTCGCCGAAAAATGGATTGTGAGCTGAACATATCGCAATATTCAATTCGTCAAATATTGAAAAATGAGCTCGGGGTAAAGCCATTGAAATTCCAAAAAGTGCAAAAACTTACACCGCAACAGAAGAAAATAGACTCAAAAGAGATAAAGAGTTGCTTCGCTTGGCCGAAAGTGGTGAACTGCCGAATTTGGTTTTCTCCGATGGGAGAACATTCGTTGTCCGATGGTCGCTCTCTGCTCGTATTATTCGATCGTGGCATCAGAATAAAAGCCGAATATTATCGCGAAAATATTCTGGAGGGTGTATTAAAGCCTTGGGCACGCAAACATTCTGGACGCAGACCTTGGACATTCCAATAGGACTCAGCACCTTCGCACTCAGCACGCGCCACCCAAAATGAGGTCCCTCGCTTCATTTTCAGCGCACAATGGCCACCAATATATCCGGATACCAATCCGTTGGACAATTATGTTTTGAGTATTTTGGAAAGCAAGGTTGGCATTAAAAAATACCAAAGTGTCGATCACCTCAACCAAGCGCTTCGCCGGGAATGGGCCAAAATACCGCAGAGCAACATTCGGGCAGCGTGTGACGGTTTCATTGGCCGTTTGAAGACCATAATTCGTGCCAAAGATGACCAAATCGAACAAATCCAAACTTATTCTAAAATTTGATGCTATTTGCGATATTTTTTGCTTTCATTCAATAAAATTAAAAAAATGTAAAAATAGTGGCGTTTGACTTTGTTGCAGCTTTTTTATTTCACCCTGTATAATAAAGAGCGTAAAAAACTATTTCAAAACCTAATTTCAATTGTGGAATAGCTGACCTTAAGCCACATCGTTCAATTCTTGACTTAACTATGTTATTATCAATCTCCCAGGTGGAATTTTCAACTATTTTCCTTAAGAGTGTTTCCTGAAGGTTTCAGTATTCTGTTGATCTTGTGAGATTCGTTTTGCCTTCTTAAGGCGTTACAAAACAATTGTTGTTTTAATTTCAGCCAGTTCTGTATGATAGAGCAATAATCAAACCAACTTCTTTAAATACCGTGCTGACACGGCCTTTGATAATGTTCTGCAATTCCGTCGTCTGTTGTTGTGTTTGTCACAACTATTTAGGACTTGAGTTTGAAACGGACTGCAGCAATAATCTTCATATAATAATAAAAAAAAATATTTCTTTTCAAAATATTTAATTTGTTCATTTATTTTTGTTGTTGTTTTTTTTTTATTTTCTTAAATTAAAATATGCACAATACAAATTTAATCAATTTTTTATATAGGTATATTTATATTACACAAATAAGCGTTATTGTGGTTTTCATCAATTGGATTTTCTTTTGTTTTCACTAAGAACATGTAATTTGTTGTTTTAAATGTTAAAATCAGAAATCAGCTGAGCTTGATTTTCGAAGAAATATTTTTTTTTGTTTGATTCCTAATAAGTATATATTTTGTTGTTGTGTAGCGACTACTTTATATTCATATATCATAGTAATTTTAATAATTTTTGTTATAAAACAAAAATTACTGGTATAACTGTTGATTTGTTCTTGTGTTTCTCTGTTGTTTTGTTTTTTTTTTTTTCTTTTGTTTGTGATAAATTTATTTATAATAATTAGAATAATAATAGTAGTAGTATTTTGTTGTATATTCATGTTTCAATACATATTATATTTACTTAAAATAAAACTAAATAGTTAAACGTTACGTTACGTTAAAGTAAAACAAAGGGGAAATGTATATAGTGTGGGAATCAAATTGTAACGTGACTAAAGGGGAAAACATGAATATAATTCCTACTAGAAAAAGAAATTTAACGAAGAAAAAAACAAAATTGCGTTTTGGTGAAAAAGGAATTCAACATTTTTTTCTTTGCTTTCATATACAAACATTTATTCATCCAACTCTTTCTACTCCCACCCTCCTTTCCAGCTAACCACCAATGGACTTGCAAATTCTATTCCTGATTGATATTTTTTAAAACATAATTTACCACTAATGCAAATATAGCAAAACATATTAAAATTATTAGATTTGACTGCCAATTTAAATAGGAATTCGATAGGCTTTTGCCTGAATTTGCATCGGCGTGGGCATGAGCTCCACCAGCTGTATTTGCATCGTTTACTCCGTTTGCGGCGAGGCCGTTTAAACCTATGCTACCACCATTTGCTAGGCCACCATTGGCCACATTTGTTTTACCACTAACACCATTGGCCACGCCTCCATTGGCAGCAGATGCAGCAGCGTTGAGGGCCTTCAGCTTCAGCTCCTTTTCACTTTGCAATTTTTTGTTAATTTCCTCACATATTTCTGGGAATAATTCAACAAAATGTGGATTTTTCAAATTAAATGCAAGCGATTTTTTGGCTAGTTGTTGTTTCTCAAATGTTGTGGTTTCTATCGAGCCTAAGGTAGCGGTGCTTTCCAACTGCCAATGAAGAAAAAAAGATATTAATGAATGTTCATTAATTATTTACACCGAACAACAAACATACCATAAAACTTAATAGCCCAGTTAATATTGTGCCGACACACCATGTTGGATTCCAAGTGTCTGGATGGAAATCTAAAAATATAAACATTTAATTACATGAAATTCTCGTAGTCTTTATAACAAAAAATTACCTGATATACTTAAACATAATCGTGTATTTGTTTTGAAACGACCATTTGGTGTAAGCATATATATTGAAGGCGGCTTGAAGGGAAATTCGCGGGGAAACAGCAGTGTGCCATGATAATAACCACCATAGTATGGTGAATCTTCGGGACCCTTAACCACGTAGTGCCATTCTAAAATATTATTTGGCAGCGGCTCTGCTGTAATATATGGCAATGGATCTCGCTTTAGACGCATATAATCTTGTTTCATCCGTGAAACAGCTGTCGGTTGTTTACGCCCCGATGATGACGACGATGAGTTGGACATCTTTTTAACCTCCATTTCTATAGTGGTACAGGCCAAAGGGCAGGATGCAGCAAAATCTCAGTGTTGAGGATATCAACTATCTGGAAAAAAGAAAAAGAAGAAATTTAGACATGTCTATAAAATTATTGCCCTTACAATCTTTTAATCTTAAAAAATCAAAAGTATTGTCCAAATAGTTGCCGTAAGACCCACAACAAAAACCAACAATTCCACTAAATAACTTTAAAAAAATTCTCGATTTTTTAACTCGATTGACCTGAAATTGTTTCCCCCAAAAGGGTCAGAATATGCAGGAGAAGCTCGCAAAATATTTAGAAAAATTAAACGGATCAAAAACTAAATTATCTAATGATTTTCAAGTTACTCTGCAGGTCACAATTAGGGAATAAGGTCTTAAGTTATTGGCAAGTTCCAACAAGAACTACCCCAAAATCCTAGGGGTCATATTTGATAGCATGTTCAGGTCTTCAGCGCCAGCCGCAACTATCAGCGATAAACTGAAAAGCTGGAACAAATTCCTTAAGGCGCTAGCAGGCAGCATTAGGGGTGCGGAAAAGGAGACCTTGTTGACCTCTTATAACGTGACAGGTCGATCTGTGCAAAACGGCCCCATTCAGGCGTGTCTGGAAGTATATACATGATCTAGAGAGGGACGTCCAACGCTAAAAGTAACAGCCTCAAGATCAGTAAGCCTTTCAGGCAGGTCTGAGTACCATTTAAACTGATGCAGTCACAGATTTCATAGGCAACTTCAGTATGAATAACGACGCCGGAGTTCATCCACCACCATTGCTACTAAAGAACGCCGGCTGCCTACCCAAATCAGGGAAGCTTTGACGCAATTATGTTAAGGCTTGTGCAGAAGTCTCAACTCGTATTGGACCCGAATTTATGAAGGTGTGCGAAACGTCTGCATCCCGCGCCAGAAAATCTTTGGTTACAGCCTGCAAAGTTAGCCGGTTTTTTTATTTAGAGTTTGAACCCGGTGCAGAAGGAATAATCTTTAGAGGATAATTTTTTTACTTTGTTGTAAATTATTCCAAAGTTTCCGGTAAACCGTGAATATTTTTGATTTTGAGAATCACTTCCCGCAGAAATTACAAAACCTCGAAAGGGCACTTCTAAACTTTGATGCTGTCTTAGGAATATAAATTAAATGTTAAATACCCATTAGCACGACAGAGGGCGTAAATGTAGAAGATTAATTTGTTGGTGATTGGTCCCTCCCTGATTGGTCTGTCTGTTGTAATTCAAATATAGGTATGTGGTAAAAAGCATGACCTAATACAAAGTGAGATAAAAAAACTGCAACAAGGTCAACCGCCATAATTTTTAATTTTTTTTTTTAATTTTATTGAATGAAAGCAAGAAATGCTGGAAATAAGTTTAGATTTGTTCAAATTGATCACCTTTGGCACTAATTATGTCCTTCAAACGACCAATGAAACCGTCACACGCTGCCCGAATGTTGCTCTGTGGTATTTTGGCCCATTCCCGGCGAATCGCTTGCTTGGGGTGTTCGACACTTTGGTATTTTTAGTGCCAACTTTGCTTTTGTACGCTTGTAAACAATATATTGAGCTGTCACTGGAATAATTTTAAAAGCTGTCGGAAGAGTAGCTTAGAATGACAGCAGTCTGAAGTTGGTTGCAGTTTTTTCATCTCATCCTGTATTTATCTCATTTTTCTCCGACTGTGGATTCTACAATATAGAGGAGTGGAACTCACTAACATTGAGATGCAGTCTTCTATCAAAGGTTTTTGTCCAAATACTTGACATAATTTTCCTCAAATATCAAGTTCTATTTTAAATACCATTCAATTTGTCATTAACTTCAAAATTACGATAAGTCCTTATTTGACTACGACTTTGCTTGTGTGATTTCTTTAATATTTTCCATATTTAAATTGATTAGGTGTAAGCTTGCATACCATAGAACGAAATGAATGATATTGTTATCTTAATAACTTTTCTTTATTTTCCTCTGCTTATTCCATATACCATGAACTGGCCTAACGATTTAATTTGATTCTGATAATTTATCGGCAAAATATTAAGGCCAATATTTTCCTATCTTAAGTGGTGTAGGGTGTTCATCCATACATACAATTCCATACCAAATTCCAAAGAAATTACCAATGATGGGAGGTACACGTGTCCCACCTCAACAACGCAAATAGCCAAATAATAATAGCAAACCAACTTGCTAACTGGTTGCTACAAAAACACAATAACAACAAATCAAAGTCATTGGAATAAACAAAACGTATATAAACAATACCGACTACTACTGCGAATCATCATAATAATATTATTTATTCTTTTGTGCATTTCCGAGAAAATGCAATAGTGAAATTAAATAGGAATATTTTCCAAAACAAAGCCATGCAATGCATAAAGAATCTGTTTGGCATTTTGGCATAAGTTGAGTTTAGGGGCTATGCTTGGATTGACCTGAAATTTTTACCGCAGGTAGGTATTTGTAACCTGATTACGGCAATATAATTTTTTTGTGGGGGAAATACCCGGTTACCCGGTTATTCGACCCAAAAGTTCGGATACAACATCCGGTTTATATCCGGTTCTACGTAACCGATATCAATAATATGGGTATCATTTGAAAGCTTATGAAAATACCTATCCAACAAGTGGTCATATATGGGGTAACTGGAACCGGTTTCGGAGAAATTTAGGAAAATGTGCATTTTTGTATGAGTAATTTTTGAAAAACCCATAAAAACTCGAAAATGGACCCATTATAGGGTCTTAAAATCTATACACTATATTATAGCTAACACTATTGCCTTTCCAAAATGGTGTCATATGTGTTGATATCTTTTGTAGTTCCGAAGATATTGACTTTTAAATTCGTTACTTATGAAAGCAGTTTGAGTGAAGCCAAGTTTTGTGTCGGGTTTAACGTTCTTGTTAATCTGCTTTGTTTTTAATTTGGTGTTGTTAGAATATTATGGATCGCGTAGTCGGTGTTGGACATATCCCAGAGGAGAAAATCTTAAGCCGCGGCCGAAGGCCGGCTACTTACAAAAATTACAATTTTTAGAAAAACTATGGATCGCGTAGCCGGTGTTGGACATACCCCAGAGGAGAAAATCTTAAGCCCCGGCCGAAGGCCGGCTACTTTCGAAAACTACAGTTTTTAGGAAACTATTGATCGCGTAGCCGGTGTTGGACATACCCTAGAGGAGAAAATCTTAAGCCCCGGCCGAAGGCCGGCTACTTTCGAAAACTACAATTTTTAGAAAACTATTGATCGCGTAGCCGGTGTTGGGCATACCCCAGAGGAGAAAATCTAAAGCCCCGGCCGAAGGCCGGCTACTTACAAAAATTACAATTTTTAGAAAAACTATGGATCGCGTAGCCGGTGTTGGACATACCCCAGAGGAGAAAATCTTAAGCCCCGGCCGAAGGCCGGCTACTTACAAAAATTACAATTTTTAGAAAAACTATGGATCGCGTAGCCGGTGTTGGACATACCCTAGAGGAGAAAATCTTAAGCCACGGCCAAAGGCCGGTTGCTTAAAAAAGCTATAAAGGTCAAAGTCAAATGCATCTAGACTGGAGAAAAATATAATTTAATGAATTCTATCTCTTATATCTTCGGAACCACAAAAGATATCAACACATATGACACCATTTTGGAAAGGCAATAGTGTTAGCTATAATATAGTGTATAGATTTTAAGACCCTATAATGGGTCCATTTTCGAGTTTTTATGGGTTTTTCAAAAAGTACTCATACAAAAATGCAAATTTTTCTAAATTTCTCCGAAACCGGTTCCAGCAACCCCGTCATATGACCACTTGTTGGAAAGGTATTTTCATAAGCTTTCAAATGATACCCATTTTATTGATATCGGTTACGTAGAACCGGATACAAACCGGATGTTATATTCGAACTTTTGGGTCGAATAACCGGGTAACCGGGTATTTCCCCCACAAAAAAATTACATTGCCGTAATCAGGTTACAAATACCTACCTGCGGTAAAAATTTCAAAATGATCCGAGCATAGCCCCTAAACTCAACTTGCTCCGGCATTTTTTCTGCCGTCTGCCCTGACCTTCGTTCCAATTTTTTATCACAATATTTTTCTTTTTGTGTTCTTCTCCTTGTCTTAATTCATAATTCTCAGAGAGCGGTGTAAAGAGTTCATAGTATATGTTTTGCACGAGTGTTCTTCGTTGTAGCTTACCTTTTGTTTTTTCAGCGACGACGTTTTGTAATTCTAATTATTCTTTAATTGCAATTTTCAATTATTATGACGTTCAAGTTGTTCAAAACAACAATAGAAATGATGAGGAAACACAAACACACGCACTCCTTCTCTGTTTTCCTTGTTATCATTCGTTGTCACCTCTGTTTTTTGGCCTTTAAACTACTGCCTAGACAAACGTTGTGTCTTTCTCCAACACCACCACCATCAAAAAAGCCAGTAATTATTATTGCAAAGATAGTAGTTTAGTAGAACGAGCAGAAGGGAGTGTTCAAACGACAAGTGGGGATGGAGAGATGTGGAACAACAGCAAAGACAATAACAACTACTTTGTAAATACGAAAATTGGGGGTTTTCTATTTTTTCACCAACTACTTCAGATTGATTTGTTTTGTTGACTTGTCTTCGCTGTGTTCTTGTTGTTTGATTTCCTCTACAAAATAAAGAAGATTGCTGTTTTCGTATTTGTTTTTATTGTTTTCTATTCTTTTATTTATCACTACAATTTTCTTTTTTAAGTTTCTTCTGACGAATTTCTCTCGACTAGGGATATGTAAGTCGATTGTCGACTAATCAATTGACCGATTTCTATTGAGGCAAAATCGAAATCGAATGATAAACATAGGCCTAAGTGTCCCTATGTCTAGCCAATTGTTAATGGCATGTTTCAATCCGTATTTGAACTATAATTGTTGTGTTGTAAAACTATAAAAAGAGAAATGTTACATTCATTCGCCTCTAGATAACTAAAACTAACGGAAACTAGTAATACAAAAAAATGCTAAAAATGTCAAAATTTTATCTGTTCCAGAATTACAAGAATGTAATGCAATGTTTTCATTGCAATTTCAATCACGTTGTTCGCTCTCAGAATTAGGTACACCAATTAACCCGTTCATACGGCACGATTCGTAATTCATAGTAACATAATTCCTTTATTTAAAATGTTACTTTGTTGATTTTAATGGGAGTTTGTATGAAAACATATGAAATTCGCATTAATATGAATAAAAGAAATCATTGTTTCTTTTCTAAAGTGCTATTATACAATATACATTAATGTTTTGACCCTATTCTATAAATGTTGACATTTTGAATGTATTTTTGTGTGTTTTCTTTTTTATACTCTGGAGAGAAACTTTTATATTTGTGCTGGAGAGAAACTTGTAAATATATATTTTGTCGATGCAAAATTTTTGAAAAAAGTTTTCTGCAAATATTCCAACTTTTGGACAAAAACAAGAGTTATCGAAATTCACAGGGTGACACAGAACAGCCCAATTTCACTTTTAGTACCTTTTTTCACAGGTGATGATTAAAAATAATGAAAACAAATAATATAATATAATTATTTAATGAAATTGTGAATTAAAAACTCAATGGGAAATCAAAAAACAGCATAATTTTCCATTTTTTCGATACCATAAAAGAAAAATTGATTATTGTAGTAAAAAGTTTTACATTCTTGCAGTTCTTGAACAAAGCAATTATTGTAGTTCTGGAACAGAACAGCGGTCTAATTCTTGTTCTAAGAAAATATGAAATGAAACAAATTTTTTTTTTAATCTTTTCATTTGACATTTCTGTCCTTTATAAAAGTTTTCATTTTTCGTGTGGCAATATACCCCCTACCTCTCCAAAAGAGAGTTCGCCAATTATCCCCTCCCCTTTTTCCCCCCTTTTAGTTCCCAACGCGCTTAGGGATTTTAAAATAAAAAAAAAGAAAAGCTTTCATTTCACATTTTCATTGAACAAAAATTGATCTCCAGTAGTTTCAATGCAATGTGAACTTGGTATAATTTTTCAAGTACAAGAAGGGTCTTCAAGTAAAAAATTATAAAACAAGTACAATATACAAGGTGAGATAAAAAAAAATTTCAACAAAGTCAAACGTCATATATTTTTTTTTTCTTTTTTTAATTTTATTGAATGAAAGCAAAATATGTCGAAAATAGCTTCAAATTTTAGAATAAGTTTAGATATGTTCGAATTGGTCACCTTTGGCACGAATTATGGCCTTCACCGTTAAGGCCAATGAAACCGTCACACACTGCCCGAATGTTGCTCTGCGATGTTTTGGTTCATTCCCGGAGAAGCGCTTGCTTGTATTTTATAGTGCCAACCCTGCTTTCCAAAAATACTTTTTTTTCTTTTGGTGAAATTTCATTCCCACATATCTGTTGCTCCGATATATATTTTTTACTATAAACCTTCTCGAAGTCATACCATGCCCTCTGTTGCCCAATGTTATTTGGAACGAGAGGTACAATGTTTCATTCAAATTTGGTGAATCAAATCGATTTAGAGTTTGATATACCTCTTATAAATTAGTTCCCTCTTATTCCAAATAATAGCTGTTTTACAACCGTAATACGCATTCAAAATAGGTTCATATTTGATCTACTTGACAATATAAACATTAATGTGCTACGGATAACTCTACTAAATATGCATACTGGCCCGCCCGACTAACCTTTTTTTATTCTTTTTTATATAAAGATGAAGATGTACTCCTGATTCCCAAACCTAATCCAAATTCAATGTCATTGAAATTGTGGACTCTAAAGAGATTACATAGCGTAATCTCGTGAACGTACTTAAAATTGATAATGCTTTATTAAACAATAAATTAGAAATTTATTATATTGAATAATTAATGAAACTTATTATGTATTAATGTATTTTTATTTACAAAATTTTCAATATTATTACTACACCTATTTCAGGATTCTAACCTTTTTTAGCCATTTTCATTTATGGCGACGCTATTTAAACAATCGTACTACTGCTTTCAACGTCACCACTGGCGGCTACATTCGGTTTACCATTTGCACCGTTGGCCACATCATCATTATTAGCCGATGCAACACTCGGCGTACTTAGCTGTAACTCTTTTTCAGTTCTCAACTCCACATTGGTTTGATTGGCAGCATTTGTTTTACCACTTTCACCACTGGTCGCAGTTTCCAGCTTAACATTCTCTTCACTTTTCAAGTTGGTGTTATTGGTACCAGCCCCTTTTTCAGTTATTTCAGCATTAGTTGCTTTCAATTTTAAATCTTTTTCACTTTGTAGTTTTGCTTTGATTTCTTTGCAAATTTCGGGAAATAATTCAACAAAAGTTTTATTTTTTAAATTAAATGCTAGCGACCTTTTGGCTAGTTGCTGTTTTTCAGAAAGTCCTGTTTCAATGGAGCCTATAGTGGGAGTGCTTTCCATCTACAATTTTTGGAAATAAAATTATTATGATCGAGTACACATATTATTTATAGACATACATACCATAAAACTTAATAGACCCATCAATATTGTACCGACACGCCAGGATGCGTCCCAGGTCTCTGGGTGGTAATCTAAAAATAAATGTGCACAAAAGTACATAAATTAATTAATGATTTCATATTTTAGAATAATGTAATGAATTCACTAAATTGTATTAAAGATCTAGAAGAAAGGATTCAATCAATGAATTGATGGGTGAAACTAAGGATTTTCATTTTGAATAAATAATAAGCCCAAGTGAAAATTGAGAACATTTGGGTACTAAACGCTAGAATTGTTTCAGAACCTGCAAGAAGGTAAAGGGTTTACTACAAATACAGATTTCTCCTTTATGGTATCGAAAAAAAAATCAAATAGTATATTCCTGTAATTTCTGGAAACGAAGCTATTTTTAAATATTTATAAAAGTTCAACTTTAAAACATTGTTAAAATTTGAGTTCTGGTAGATTCTTGGAGATCCACTTCAACTCAGGCTCCAGATATACGCTATTTTCAAGGGAATATAATTCCCGAACAAATTGATCCGCTTTCATGTTCTTTCGACATCAAGCCTTTCCTTAGTCTTTTCAAAAGTCATATTTATAGCAATTATATTTACCTGATATACTTAAGCATAATCGTGTTCTTATTTTGAAACGACCACTTGGTGTAAGCATGAATATTGCAGGCGCTTTGAACGGATATTGGGGTGGAAACAACAGTGTGCCATGGTAGTAGCCACCATAGTATGGCGAATCTTCTGGACCTTTGATAACATAATGCCATTCCAAAATATTAGCGGGCGAGGGCTCGGCTGTAATATATTGCACTGGATCTCGTTTCAAATGTAAATATTCCTGTTTCAAACGTGCTAAAGCCATTGCGTGTACACGTCCCCAAGTTGTTCCCAATAAGTCAGCTATCCAATGTATTGAGTATTAACAATCTGATAAAAGAAAAAACACTAGTGATTTTGAAATATTACATAGAAATATTTGTATACTCTCCACCATGGTATGGAGGGTATATTATGTTTGTCATTCCGTTTGTAACACCTCAAAATATTCATTTTAGACCCCAATATATATACTTTATGTTCTTGATCAGCTTAAAAATTCTAGTCGATATTAGCGAATCGCTCTAGCTTCCCCATATAACGGTACATCCCTATTTTTGGTATTTTATTTATTAGCGGCATTATTCATCGGAATTGCTACAAATTTGATGTTTGAAGTTCGTAATGGATACTGCAGCCTAAGGCAGAAAATTGTCTGTGCAGGTCCACATTTTAATATAGCCCCCATATAATAGTACCTCCCTATATTGACAAGTTTCGCATTTGAATATTGTAATGGCTTATGACAAATGTTGCCTATGCAGGTCCACGTCGTCGTTTAGATTTTAGCAGAATTTTTAACGGATTTTTTTTTTTTGAAAATTGCCAAATTCGTTCCAGATGTTACATGGTATTCAGAGTTCGGCCCGGCTGAACTTACAGCTTTTTTACTTGTTTTTTTTTTTTTTTTTTTGGTGTATGAGCAATTCTAAAAGGAAAAATTTGATGTTTTTACTTCTTTTCAAGGAAAGTATTTTTACCCTAACTTTAAAAAAATTATTTCCTTCATGACCTAAACATTTGTGTAAAAAAGGGGTCAAATAGTCAAATTGGAAATAGAAATGAATCCAGAAGCTGCAAGAATCTACAAGGTTTCACAATTTTTTGCAATATGAAAAAGGAAATATCGGTTATGGTTGCAGATTCTGGAACAGAGTATATTTTTATTCAGAATCTCCAATGCAGAAACTGGGAATAATTCTATTCTCAAACGGAACAATTCGCATATAAAATGGGATCACTATTGAAATGTAACAAACTACTAATGACATCCTGGCATTGCAATTAAAATACATCGAATTGCATCTGAGAAAGAAGTGAAGTAAGGGCTAATATCAGTCCAAATGGAGTAAATTTTTTCCCTCACATTCGTAATATGCACTCCACAAGACTGATATTTAGCACCAGATATCAGATACAGCCTAGCAAATTAATGATTCAAATTTTATCAAGATCGGTTAGATTTGGATATAGCTCTCATATATATCTTCATCCGTTTTTAGGTTTCTTGTGCACTAAATGGCTAATACCAGTCCAAATGGAGTGAAGTTTGGCACTTAAAACCGAATAGAAATAAGTACTTTAAATTTGGTGAAAATCGGCTCAGATATAGCTACAGTCTCATATATATGATTCATCCGATTTGGTGTTTAAGTCCCTTAAATTCATAAAATGCACTATACAATATTTGGTACCAGATATCAGATACAGCCAAGAAATAGCTGTTTTCAATTTTATAAAGATTGGTTCAGATTTTGATATAGCTCCCATATATAGCATTTTCAGATTAAATGAAACCTTTTGCAATTCAAATGAAACTTTTTGCAGCGGAAATGAAACATTTTGCAGTGGAATTGAAACCTTTTGCAGTGGAAATGAAACCTTTTGCAGTGGAAATGAAACCTTTTGCAGCGGAAATGAAAACTTTTGCAACCGAAATGAAACCATTTGCAACCGAAATGAAACTTTTTGCAAATCAAATGAAACTTTTAGATTTTTAGATGGAAAAATAACAAAACATTTTTATTTTTATTAGTTTTTAAATGAAATCAAATAATTATAATTAATATATTTACAAAGAGGATTTTTTATTGATTATAAACCAGATATCTTATAGAGCTGAGAAGTTGAAATATAAATCTTTCTTTTACGAGAGCTCTACTAAATATGAATAGTGGTGTAGGGTATCATATATTCGCCCCCCAAATTTGTCTTGGTTTATTGTATATACAACAATAACAGCACCCTTTTAAAAAATTAATAATTTTTAGGTGGGCGGCAATCTTCTGTTCATCATCAATTCAATTTTGTTCTATCAGTTCATAAAATTTTCCCAAGTAAAAACTTCTAAAACCGTAAACAAACTTCAAAAATGTTTTTATTTTTACAAGTAGTGTTTTAATTTTACCATAATTGTTTCCTTTTCGTCTTAGCTCTGAAAATTGCTTCAATTTTGTGATCATATTTTTATTTTATTCTGCTTATTTTAATTCATAACTTCAGCAGAGCGGTAAAAATGTTGGCTACATACCTAAGGTTGGACCACTATGTAGTTGTTTATACAATTTATTTTCCACGTCGTTTTGTATTTCTTGTTATTCTTTAATGACAATTTTTTAAAATTTTGTTCTATTCCAGTTTAAAAATATATGAAAATTTCTATAATCAAAACAAATTGCACTCTCTCTCTCCTTTCTTGTTACCGTTGAACGAGCCGAATTTCATCACTCCATGTATTTGTTTATCGTATGACGGCATACGACCTATAGCTGGTAAACAATCGATGAGAATGTCGATAGTTCAGGTAAAAATCAAAGTCTATCGGCAATTATGTCATGTTCACATTATCATTAGGATTACGTTATATTTCTGCAGAATTATATATTTTCTGTTCTTATCCATGGTAGAAGAATACAGATAGTCGCATCGACACAGCTGCTGGGACAATGAACATTCAATCCAATTTTGATATTGAAAAATTTGAATGGAAAATAATTGAAATTCGTTAAAATTGTGGAAAAGGCGCATAACATTCTTATTGGAGTCGTATAAGAAAACATACAAAAATCTACTTATTTAAAAAATAAAAAATTTTTGACATGACCTGTATTCTTGTAACATGGACGGTTCATGGTAGAAGAATGCAGGTAGTCGCATCGACACAGCTGCTGGGACAATGAACTGTCAAACCGATTTTGAAATTGAAAATTCTGAATGAAAAATTATTGAAATTTGTACAATTTCGCGTCGTATAAGAAATCATAAAAAAGTTACTTATTTTTTACAAAACATTTTAAAAATTTTGACGTATCAATGTTTCCAAGCGTTGATGTATCTACCTATATTCTTCTACCATGGGACGGTTATTAGCTAATGCCACGGCAGAAGAATACAGGTAGATGCATCAACGCTTGGGAGCATTGATATGTCAAAAAAATTTAAATGTTTTTTCAAATATAAGTAAATTTTTATATGTTTTCTTATACTACGTCATTCGGAGGCTATTATAATTCGCAATTTTAAATAATTTTTCATTCAACATTTTCAATTCCAAAATTGGTTTGACAGTTCATTGTCCCAGCAGCTGTGTCGACGCGTCTACCTATATTCTTCTACCATGGCTAATGCTATGTTCTCTATGCAATTTCAATCACGTTGTTCGCTATCAGAATTAGGTACACCAATAAGCCCATTCATACGACACGATACGTAATTCATAGTAACATAATAACTTTTTTCAAAATGTTAGTTTGTTGATTTTAATGGGAATTTGTATGAAATCATATGAAATTCGCATTATTATGAATGGAAGAAATTATTGTTTTTCCTCTAAAGAGCTATTTTACCATTATTTTACAAAATTCATTCGTGTTTTGATCCTTTTCTGTAAATGCTGTTATTTTGAATATAATTTTGTGTGTTTTTTTTTCTGTAGAGAAACTTGTTAATGAAAAATCTTTGAAAACAGTGCCCCTTTTGTTTCCGTCTATATGCAAATATTTCAACTCTTGGACAAAAAACGTATCTCGAATGAGGGGGAGAACAAAATTTAATTCCGTTTAAATGTTAATATGACATTCAAAATATATGTTTAATTCATAATTTTCAGTCTTCCTGAAAATTTTGAAAATTTCTTAAAATTTTTCTATTTTGAATTTTTAAATGTCATTATTTATTTTTTCGATAAATACTCTCATTTGTTAGTGATGGCATAAATTTCATCTTAGTTCCGTAAGTAATTTGAATGAAACAATAAACAAAAATCTTTGTTCGCTCAGCAAATTTTATATGGGTAATTAAGAAGATAAATAAACAGTCCTAAGACGGTTTAACGATGTCCGTTGATCTGTTGAAATCAAGATAGTCAAAATTTGTCCGTACCAAAACCTGCAAGAATCTACTAGTTTTGCAATATTTTTCAATACTATAAAGGGAAAAATCGGTTATCGTAAATAAAAATTTTAAAATTTTACAGACCAAATATTTTGTATAAATAAACAAAATTTATTTGGCATAGGCGTTTGCGATATTATTTTGATTGGTCTGTTCCAGAACCCTCGAACCAGTAAAGGGAAAATTGATTATCGTAGTAAAAACTTTTACATTCGTGCAATTCTTGCACAGACAAGATGTTTGGAATATAAAGTCACATTTTCTAATTGATTTGTTTAAAATTCTGTATTTGTAGCTCATAATTCCTCTGTTTGAGAACTTACTGGAATGTACTAGTTTTGCAAATGTGTTCTACTTAATGTGGCAGAATATTGTCTATATAGGTCAACGTTTTCCTTAAGCCCCATATCAGTACCTTCCGATATTTGGTATGTTGATTAGAATTGCGAAGGTGGAGTCAGCTATATATATATATATATATATATATATATATATATATATATATATATATATATATATATATATATATATATATATATATATATATATATATATATATACAATTAGGTAGAACTGCTTAGTAAAACTACTACTGCTATGCCCGCTTCCTGTCAGAATTATTAATTTTAGGCGACAAGTTGTATTCATTTCTTTGATATTTTTGTCCATTTGTAAAATGAGTCAAATAGCACGAAAGAAACCGGACTTAAAAAAATGATTGTGAAGGTGGAGTCATGCTATATATATAGCATGCTATATATAGTTCTACCTAATTGTATATATATATATATATATATATATATATATATATATATATATATATATATATATATATATATATATATATATATATATATATATATATATATACAATTAGGTAGAACTGCTTAGTAAAACTACAGAAATACAGCCCTGATGCTATGCCCGCTTCCTGTCAGAATTATTCAAAATTTTAGGCGACAAGTTGTATTCATTTCTTTGATATTTTTGTCCATTTGTAAAATGAGTCAAATAGCACGAAAGATGAATGAAATTCCTGTTCTCTCAAATATATGATCCTAAGTGTTCAATCCTTCAATTCTATAGCAAATCACGTTAATACCATTATTGCGCGCCCCGCAATTTAAGTTTCTTCCAATCCTTGATTCTGAAAATATTTTGTTTTCATTTTCAAAACAACAAAACATACACAAAATTGGCAGAAGTCGGGCACACTTAAAAAAAATTGTAATCAGCTGGGAGCTCTACTTTACCTTTTTATTGTACCATGGCTCCCATCTTTGATTTATGAATATACAATGGATTTATAAATATACATTCTGGCATTGAGATTTTGTCAATTTAATAATTAAAAAATTATCATATGATTGCATGACTTTACCTTAATTCTGCTATGGATTTAAACTGCATTCTCGAAATCGTAAATTTTTGAAGTTATTTAAGAAAACCGTGAAAAACCGGGAAACCGGATTTAAAAAAATGATTTTTTCAAGAATAATTTTTAAGAATATTTAACAATTGTAAAGTTGATGTATACGTTTATTACGTTATTTCTGATTTTATTCCAGAATTTCAAAAAGTCATGAATTTTTATAAGAAATATATTTGAATTATATTCGGAATTTCAAAAAATCGTGGATTTTTATAAGAAATATATTTGAATTATATACATACTTATACAATCGATCATTTATGAACCGATTAGAAATTTTATTAGTTCATATTATTAGTCCAAATAAGAGATATGCCAAAATAGGAATTTCTTTGGGACAATTTCTTCAGATTGGACATTTACAACTATCGTTAACTTAATCCAACGAAACAAATCTATAAAACTTATATGTGTCATCATATTTTCCATCGAGGAATGACTATAACATTTTGCAATGTTCCTCTATTTTTTTTTGTTTGTTTATAACTAAATTTTTATAAAAATATTTTCCATTTCAATTTATTATCACCACTTGAATCAATGGTCGCCAAAATTCAAAATGAAATCACATTTTTTGCGAATGACGTTGAAAAGTATGTAGCCATGACCAATGCTGTTATCAGCAATATTCATGTTTTTACAAAACACTTTCCAAATAAACAAAATCTTCAATGGATTTTGGAAATGCGGGCCAATTATTATCGCTTCCGATTGGCTGACACTCCCTCCAAATAGTTTAAATTTTTAGAAAACCAACATAATAAATAACAAAAATCACATGCTTATAACGCATGGGGGGTCTTGCTTTTGACCCCTTATTAAATTAATTAAGTTTAAGTAATTTGTACAGATTTTTTTTTTTAAATAGCTTTAATGTTTATTACAAATATCCCTTGTGTTTAGCAACAACAAGAACTATGAAATATCACACTTGTTGAATAAGGGATAAGTTTCTTAAATTTATTTTTATTTATAGTTTATGCTTTGTTTTTTATGGTTTTTATTTTAAGAAAGTGCATTTGGTTTTGAAGCACAACAATCTGTTTCTTATAAAAAATAATTATTTACTTTTTTATGACAACAATTGCTGCTGCTGATAAGAAAGAGCAACGTCGTGTTAACTGGAATGAAGATTAAAGTGCGAACTATTACAGTGTATGCAAAGGGTTTTGGATGAGCGAAGGGGTATTTGTTGTGGTTTTAAAAAAATATATATACATGACGTTTTTATAAAAAAAGTTTCTGTTAGAAACTTTTAACAGTTATGTACAGATTTACTGGATATTACATTAATGATATTTTTATAATTTATCTAATAAGATAGTGACAACATGGATCTTTTTATGCGGAATAACAATTTTCCTAATCAACATATTAAAAAAAGAATTCTGAGTATTTAGCATCTAATAAATAGCATTGACCAATATAGACACTTTTCCAGTATCTACAAGAATCGATCAGTTTTGCAATTCTTCTCGATATCATAAAGAAACAAAAAAAGACATTGTTCGGTCAGACCAAACCTCGAATGTCCTCAAGCATTGGGTAAGGAAAACAGTAAGTTGTATCTGGATTCAAACCTGTTCCACTTTAAACTAAAAAATCCAGTAAGATCAGTAGGAGAAGGGTTGGAGCCGTTATATGGGGGCGATTGTCATCTATTGCGAGTCTTAAATATCAAATTTTACATAATTTTGTGGGTACATGTGACTATGAGGGATAGAACCAATATGGACAATGTTTTGACGACGGTTCAACAAATCAATTAAAAAATGTGGCTTAAATTGTCAAATTCCGATTATCCGATGGAACTGTTAAATGTGCGCTATAGGAAAACGTGGACCTAGATATTAAATGTTCTGCCCACGAGCTAGAACCCATTACGAACACAAATACCGAATATCGGGAGGTACCGTTATACGGGGGCTTACGAAAACGTACACCTATATGTACAGCGCTCCTTCATCGGAGCTAGAACCCATGACGAACTACAAATACCAATTTTTGAAAAATTCGTGGAAAAATGTGACTTAAACCATCAAAATACCGAATATTGGGAGGTACCCTTATATGGGGGCTATACGAAAACGTGCACCTATATGTACAATGTTCCGTCACTAGAACTAGAAGTTAAAACGAATTACAAATACTTTTTTAGACAAATTCGGGGAAAAATGTGGCATAAACCATCAAAATACCGAATATCGGGAGGTACCCTTATATGGGGGCTATACGAAAACGTGGACCTGTATATACAATGTTCCGCCATCGGAGCTAGAACCCATAACGACTACAAATATACATTTTTTACAAATTGATGGAAATATGTGGCTAAAACTATCAAAATACCGAATGTCGGGAGGTATCGATATATGGGGGCTATCCCAATACGTGAACCGACATTTCTAGTTTTCAATACCGACACAATGCTAACTACTGTGACAAAGCTCTACGTCAAATAATGTGAGCTATATGGTAATTTCAACAGACGGACAGGCAGAGAGATAGACATCGTTAAATGTTATGCTGATCATGAATATGCAGAGTGAGATGAAAAAAACTGCAACCAACTTCAGACTGCTGTCATTTCTAAGCCACTTGTCCGACAGCTGTTAAAATTATTCCAGTAACAGCTCATTATATTGTTTACAAGCGTACAAAAGCATTTTGGTGAGAGTTTTCCAGAAAAAAAGTTATTCGTGATGGAATTTAAGCGTGATAGTGTGATTTCTTTATATTTGGCTGGAAAACCACAAGTGGCTATCGATAGAGCACTCCAGCAATTAAATGTGAATAAATCTTTTGTGTCTCGTACCATCGCTCGTTACCGTGATACTGGTAGCGTAGCCCGACTTCAAGGAAATGGACGGAAGAAAACATCATGCAGAAATTGTTCGAAAAGTGAAGAAGCGACTTGATCGAAACCCGCGTCGCAGTGGCCGAAAAATGGCTCATGAGTTGAACATATCGCAATATTCCATTCGGAAAATATTGAAAAATGAGCTCGGGGTAAAGCCATTGAAATTTCAAAAAGTGCAAAAACTTACACCACTACAGAAAGAAAATAGACTCAAAAGGGCTAAAGAGTTGCTTCGCTTGTCCGAAAGTGGTGATATGCCGAATTTGTGCACCTAAAAATGTGCACCTTTGGTTGGCCATCAGAACTCAAGCGCAGGCCATGGTGAAGGCGTGGGCCGCCATAACAGCCGATGGTCGCTCTCCGCTCGTATTAATCAACCGTGGCATCAGAATAAATGCCGAATATTATCGCGAAAATATTCTGGAGGGTGTATTAAAGCCTTGGACACGCACAAATTTTGGCCGCAGTACCTTGGACATTCCAATACGACTCAGCACCATCGCACTCAGCATGCGCCACCCAAGAATGGTTACAAAATAAGGTTCCTCGCTTCATCTCCAGCACACAATGGCCACCAAAATCTCCGGATACCCATCCGTTGGACTATTGTGCCTGGAGAATTTTGGAAAGCAAGGTTGGCATTAAAATATACCAAAGTGTCGATCACCTCAAGCAAGCGCTTCGCCAGCAATGGGCCAAAACAAAATTAAAAAAAAAAAACAACAAAATTAAAAGTAAAAATTATGGCGTTTGACTTTGTTTCATTTTTTTATCTCACCCTGTATTTCTATTCATTGCACTCCATCTAGTTACAGTTTCATATTATACTTTGCGAATTTTGGATTATGAGTTGTTTATTTTAACATTTATAAAGTTTCAAAATGTTGACCATTGGGCGAGGTAGCTGAAAGAGTTGGCCCATATGATCCATATTTACCTTGATCCAATAATGACAAAATATTTGTTTATTTGAAGAACTCTTTAGTTTGAAGAACTCTAAAGAGTCGATCGATATTTTCAATTTTAACACCTGACTTAAATTTTGTATAAAAATTACGAAACTTTCAAACTTTGCATAAGTTTGAACTTAGTTTTAGACTTCGTTCGTTTCATATGTGAGTTATGAAAATCGCCTTACGATGTGAAAGTCGCCTGTGCTGTAGGCATAAAAAGCATGTATGTGAAAAGCCTCAATTTAAAATTTCTGTATTGGAATAATAGTAGCAGTGGTAAACCTACTTCTCTAGATCGTGAACTTTCATTCTCATAAAAATTGATTGTGTTTTGCCCATTAAGACATCAAAATATCAGGGACTTTAAACCAAGTTGTGTATTCCTCTCCTCTAGAACACACTGTACATTTTCAAACACAAAAAAACATATGTTGTTTGTTCCCACATCGACGAGGTATGCACTGCCTCCGATCATCGGTCTTATCTCAAAAATATTTCTTTCGGTGGACTGGGAACAAAAACAAACAGAACAACAGTGAAATCTCAATCAACTACTATCTAAACCTCGAACAAAGCCTATTGAATTTAGTACTATTTTGTTTGTTTGCCGTGTAAGACGCAGTATTTGTATTTCAAGAAGAAAAAAACCCGTTCGAAATTTAAATTCAACAAGCACACGAAATGAATACAATTGGAAAAATCGGTTTTCTTGGCGGTGGAAAAATAGCCCAAGCTATGGCCAAGGGCTTCATTGCATCTGGTAGATAAATAAATAAAATTTAAAAATATATAAAAAACTACAAACTTTAATCAGTATTAATGGTGAAATATTGTGATATTAAAAATACTCAATGTACTAAACATTTAGCAAAAAGAAATTATTAGATCAGAGTAAGAAAAAACAAAAAAGTTTTTTGGAAATTTTTTGAGAACAGATTATCTTGTCGTGGCGCCCGAATTGCAGTATTTTGAATGTTTGAGCTGGGATGAAAGTCTTTGTAATTTTTTATGATGATTTTTGGGAAAGGAAGGAGTGAATGTGATTCTCATTCACATAGGAATGATCGACACTTATACAGCTTGTGGCGAGTAAAGTCATCATATTAAAAACTGAAAAAGCCAGGTGACCATTCTCTTCGCCGGGTTGAAATCATGATATTTGTTGCGACTAGAAAATATTGCAAAGCTGTCAGTTTCATTTTGAAAAACACTGATGTCTGTAATAGAGAGTAATATGAAGTTAAGTCAATGGGAGAACACTCCAGACTTAAGCAACCATCTCTTGAAAAGTTGTTGTGGCGCCCGAATTGCAGTATTTTGAAGGTTTGACGTGGGTTGAGAGAATAACAGCTTTTGATAGATTTTAGAAAAGGTTTGTAGTTGATAAAGAGCTCGGTAAAGAGCTCCGCCACGGAAACATTTGGAAATTAAATGTTTAATATTTTTAATAACAAGGAAAATTATTTTTTTTCGAATTTTAACTCAGATCGAATTTTAACTCATCTAGACATTCTAAACAAACCTTAAGCAAATGTAAATAGTCACTCAAAGAGATGTATGGAAATATACATTTTCTACATTCTTTCCAAAAAAATCAAATGCTCTCTTAAAATATTCATGCGAGAGGCCGGAGAAAACTTTCACCTTCACTGCAACTGGTTTCTTGTTGAAGCGGGATGCATTTCCCCAAACTGTGGACAGAATGATAAAAAACCACTTGAAGTTCATAAAACCCCTTGTTTGTTTTTGTTTTTTTTTTTTTGTATGTACTCTTATAAATTTACCTAAATTACAACTATTTATTGAAAATAGTATCAGTTACTATTAATTGATAAATTTTGGAATGGAAAAATGGAATTTTAAATGTGTGTTACGCCTATAATTTTTAAAGTCTCCCTGCAACAGATTGAAATTAGAACCTAGTATATTCAATAGGCAGAAGAATTTGATTTACTTTCTTAAGTGTTGCTGACCGGGTCGGTGTTGGACAGATTTTCTGGATTCTGAGTTGAAAAAAATGTCGCGGCTTCGGGGGTCTGAGACTCTCCATAGCTCGAATAAGAGCGTTTATGCTCTACTCAAATTTGGATAGAAGTAAAATACCACTGAAATCGAGCAGAATCTACTCCTACCGAACACTTTTTTTGTTATACCCTCCACCTTGAAAAGAAGTGTATATTAACTTTGTAATTCCGTTTGTAACATCCCTAAATATTTGTCGTAGACCCCATAAAGTATATATATTCATAATCAGAATAAAATTCTAAGTCGACTAAACGATGTCCGTCGGTTTTTATGTCCGTCTGTCGAAATAACGATACAGGCCACATTATTTGACGTAGAGCTTACACATTTGGCAGAACAATTTGTATTGTGTTTTCGGATTTCGGATTTCTCGAAAAATTAGTATTAGTAGTTCTTACTGGGTTCTAGGTCCGGCGGCAGAACATTGAATATTTAGGTCCAAGTTTTCCTATAGGGCACATATAACTGTACCCACCGATACTCGGTATTTTGATAGCCCTAGCCACATTTACCAAGGAAATTGTTTAAAATTTGATATTTAAGAAAATTTGGTAGATGACAATCGTTGAAGTATAATAAGTATAATTATCATATAATTTTCAAAAAAAAAAAAAAATAAATAAAATAAAATCCGTGAAAAATTCTGTTAAAATCCTAAAATTACCGAATGTAGCCGTTATATTAGACGTAGGCCTGCAAGGCAACTTTTGTCATAAACCATTACAATATTCAAAGCAAAGCGGTGAAGAATGTAGCTAAAATCATCAAAATTCCGAAGGTTCCGTTATATTGGGGCTATACGAAGACAGACAATTTTCTGCCATAGGCTGTAGTACCCATTACGAACTTCAAATACGAACTTCATTGTGATCTTGAGTACCTTCACCGGTCTTTATAGGCTCCTTCTTGAAAAAAATACATGTATATGAACCAGACAGGTGGATCACTTTTTCGTTCTGGGGCTTGGGAAAGGAGAGTCAGTGGAAAAGGCAATGGAACCGCAAAAGGGAGGAATCGCCCTCCCAACAGGCAGAGAAGTTAAGAAAGGTTAAAGATGGCTTACACCAAAAAAATTGTAAATTAGATCCTCCTGGATGACACCGATCATCCTCCCTTCGGTTTTTTTTTGAGTTTCTAGAATAGTTGTAGGTAGAAACCCATGTATCGGCCCCAATAAATTTTATAATTGGACACTCCGCTGCCATTTATAATTAGTGATTTCGGCTTCACAGGTTCAACCCCTTTCATCGATGATTAAAGCGGTTGCATTATTGACTTCTGTCTCCTTGGTGTTTCTAATTCCCCTCAGATTATTTTTGTGGTTGCTTCAGCCGGAGCAGCCATCACATAGCTAGGTATATTGGTTGAAGGCGACTGCAAGGTTTGGTCGTTCTGAACTGAGTACTTGTTCTTCTTTCGAACTTCATGAAAGTTTCGTCAGAAAATTCTTCCGTCTTTTTATTGTTCTTCACACAACGTAGAGATCTCGTCCCCACCCAGAGCTGGTGTCCTACTAATGCAGAAGTTCCTCGGAAAAGCCCTGTTCGACTCCCCTCCAAGATTTGAATCGAGCTTACCAATCAAGCTCTTTTCGAAAAGTCTCGTTATCCTGCCAACAAACACTAAGAACACCGATAGCCATGTAGAGGTAAGACGTCCGTTATTACCGTGTTGTACAAAAACAAAATGACTGGTTACCTCAGAGTGCCTCTTATTCACAGAGTCAGCCCACAATATCTTATAATCTAACATTTTCTATAATACCCCACAATAGGCTCGCTGACTGTTCGCGACTTTTTGTTCAATTCCATCCTCGCAATATATCTATTGGGCATTTCACTATGATCGAACTGTCGGCACGCCAATGAGGATTCAACATTGGTTCCCGAAGTTGCAAACCACTAATTTAGTAAAAACTAATTTATTATGAAAGTGAATCTTCAGATTTTTATTCCCGTCTCGATAGAAAAATAGACAATTTGTTCAAATTTAGAATCAGTAGAACATAAAATGGTTGAGAAAATATAAATAGCTCATACCAAATTAATGATGATCTTAGAATAGACATAACCATCGATTATTGTTTTTTTTTTTTTTTTTTGAATATATATGTCTTAATTATCATTATTTTATTAATTATTAAGGAATATGTACAATCAACCTTTGTACTTGTTTTTCTCGCAAAAAAAATAATGCGAATCAAAAATAACCGACCCATCAAAGAAGAACAAAGTCCTCATTCTTTATGAAAACAATAACAATATACAATTCTTTCTTTATCGTCTAGGACTGACAAAAGCTGATTCTGTTATAGCCAGTGTGCATCCAGCCGATCAAATGTCATTGCAATCATTTAAGGTGAGTTCACGTCAGTGCATTGTCTTCCTTTTTCCGGACCATAAAATGGAATTAAAATAAATCACAATTCTTATCTTTTTTAAATTCTGTTTTTATTTATTTTTTGTTTTTCGTTTGTTTTATAGAAATTGGGTGTCGAGACGATAACAAAAAATGATCCGGTCGTTGAAAAATCCGATATTGTTTTCATATCAGTAAAACCACAAGTTGTGCCCAGTGTTTTGAGTGAAATCAAAACAAAAAGTGCAGACAAATTGTTCATATCAGTTGCCATGGGCATAACACTGAACACACTGGAACAGGTAAAAATGCAATGCTTAACTAAAATTAAAAACAAAAACAATATTCAATTTACGAAACACTTGTGGAAATCTTATCGTTTAAATACACAAATTTAGGTTAAAGATAAAGGAAATTGTGTTATCGCCAAAAGGAATATTAAGTTTTAAAATAGTATGATAGGGAAGGGAATGTAAATAACAGATGAAAGATAAATAGGTTATTGACAAAGTCTGTAGAATTAAATAACCCGATTTCTTATGAATTATTGCTGTTCTCAAAGAATATACCCTTCATCTTTAATATTTTGTCAGAATATGAAAAGTCGATGGTTAGGTATGGCCATAATTGGTATTTACGACTAAAGGGTAATTTTTAAGTCCTATAGGAAAGTTTTTGATAATCTTGGTTTAAGCAAGTAAAAAACATTAATTTCAGCCGGGCCGAACTTTTAATACCCTCCACCTTAGGGTAAGGAAACATTAGAACCCAAAATGATCCACAAATACCAATTTTTAGACATGAAAATGTGCAAAAAATGATCAAAATACCTAATATCGGGAAATACCGCTATATGGGATTATACAAAAACGTGGACCTATACATACAATGTTTCGCCAAAGGAGCTAGAATCTATTTGGGCCACAAATACCAAATTTTATACAAATCTGCCAAGAAATTTGGCGAACATCATTAAAATACCGAATAGAACCCATTATGATCTATAAATACCAATTTTTAGATAATTCCGTGGAAAGATGTAGCAAAAATAATCAAAATACCGAATATCGGGAGGTACCGTTATATGGGGCCTATACGAAATCGTGGACCCACACATGCAATGTCTCGCCACCGGAGCTAGAACCCATTGTGACCAATACCAATTTTTAGACAAATCCGTTAACAAATCTGGCAAAGATCATCAAAATACCGAATATCGGGAGGTACCGTTATATGGGGTCTATACCTTGATAGAATTTAGCAGAGGTATTGCTGAGCTGTATCTGATATCTGGTACCAAATATTGTGAAGTGCATATTACGCATGTGAGGGACTTAAACACCAAATCGGATGAAACATATATATGGGAGCTATAGCTATATCTGAACCGATTTTCACTAGATGTGATGTACTTGCTTCTAGACTCAATGCGGTTGGATGTGCCAAAAATTCAGGTCATTTTAACTTATTTTGGTGCACAATTGACCCGAAATCAGCTGAAGATATATGGGAGCCATATCTAAATCTGATCCGATTATTACCAATTTTAATAGGGTTCGTCCTTTGGGCCAAACAAATATTGTTTGGAAAATTTCATCTCAATCGGATAATAAATGCGACCTTCATTTTGTTTACAAGAATACATGGACGGATAGACGGGCGAACGGACAGAAAGACTGATATGCATAAATCGACTCAGAAAGTGATTCTATGAATATCCTCAAAAGTAACTATGGGTCTATTTTTCTTCCTTCCCCTGTTACAAACAAATGCACAAAGACATAATACACTTACCACCATGTGGTGTATGGTATAAACATCAAACACCAAATTTCAAGCACTATATGTTCAGCCCCTTGGTTCAGCCAACACAAAATTAAACCAACTATAATACTATTTAGTATTTTTCGTGCACTTGTAGCACACATTTTCAAAAACAACTTTAGTCTTAAACCTACCACCAACAGGAATCCCAATACCAAAAAATCGAAATTCCAACTCCAACCGCTTACCCTAAATATTACTGTTCCAAATGTAGTACCATTTATTGCAGCTAGCCCACTTGCTTCATATATCAAACTAACTTTCCAAAGTCGACGTATTTTCGAAAAAAACATCCTTAACACACGCCTACGCACCAAGACTGATCATCGTGCAACTTCAGCTGTTTCGTCTGGACGTTGAATCAGTTTTTTCACTACGCTTTTATATATAGCCAGTTTTCTATATCTCAAACTTTATTAAATTGTATGGTTTCTTTAAATCCCCACAGAATCTATCATCGAGTTCCCGTGTAATACGTGTTATGCCAAATACCCCTGCCCTCGTTCAATGCGGCTGTTCGGTGTTTGTACGCGGCAGCAAAGCCACAGACTCCGATGCAAAAGCTACACAACAACTATTAGAATCCATAGGTACCTGCGAAGAAGTCACAGAAAATCTATTAGATCCAGTTACAGCTCTGAGTGGCAGTGGACCGGCCTATGTATTCGTTATGATTGAGGCGTTAGCAGATGGTGCCGTTCGCATGGGTATTCCTCGTGACTTGGCCTACCGTTTGGCAGCTCAAACAGTTATGGGTTCCGGTATGTTGGTACGAGAATCTAAAGAACATCCTGGAGTTTTAAAAGATAATGTTACAAGTCCGGCCGGATCAACAGCAGCTGCTCTGAAACATTTAGAGGAATCAGGATTTAGAGCTGCGGTAGCTGGTGCTGTAGAAGCAGCCACACTAAGATGTCGTGAAACGACGGGTCAACAGTAGTCACACACACCAAAGGAATATATTTGTACTATAATCTAGTTATATAATTTATTTTTAGAATTTCTTTACAAAATAAAAACTAAGTTATTATAAAAATATATAGCGTGTATATATATAACAAATTCAAAACTTCTTTTTCTTCTTCTTTTCTCTGTCCAAGGCATTGAGTTCGCCTTGCTGCAGTGAAGCCTCGGCGTAGATACGTTTGACCTTTTCACGACGTTCCTTGTCGCTGTAAAAGAAAATAAAATAGTAAATTAAAATACAATCGCGGAAAAATATAAATTTGTTTAAATTAATTCAATTCGAAATCAAATTTTTATTTTTAATTCATTCCTATATCCCGACAGTTTCAAAAAAAAATCTTCTAATTATCTTCAGAAAACATTATGACGTATTCTACCTTTAAGTCTTTTCCACTGTCTATTAAATATGGTTCACTATATTTCTTCCGAATGTAAAACAAATAAATGTAATACATCACGTACCTTTGCAATTGTTGTTGTATGCGTATCTTCTGCAAGAATTCTGTATCACGACGGATTTCGCGTATAGCACCTTTAGTTTCCCTCTTGATTTTGTGAACCATTTTAACTTTCTCCTCCTTTTCCTTGGAAAGTTTGGGACGACGTTTATCATCGTATACCGTTTCGATGCGTGGCTCAAGCAGTCGCAAAGCTTTTGGTTTCTTCTCCGGTGGCACCAATTTTGTTAGCGGTTTATTGACCACAGTTGTCAATAATGTTTTTGTCTTTTCATAATTTTCTTTAACATACGTCGGATATGGTGTAACATCTAATTTCTCCAACATTTCGTAAATTGGCGAAACCAAAAAATTACTGCCCACATGTTCGGAAACTAATGTCGTTGCATCTTGTATAAGTTGGAGGGATTGATTTATAGATCTCACCTTAAAATCATTGCTAATTAATTGCATAACTAAATCTTCAGCCTTGAGTGGTTCTTCTCCAATATCCTTATATTCCTTGGCATCAGTGGGAATTGCCAGTAATTTATTTAATGGACCCTGATTTTGGAAGGGTGGTACAATTTTGATAATCTCCACTGGTCTTTTGGGTATGCACAAAAATATCAAACCTGTTAGGAAATTGAAGGCAGCGGGTACAAAACGTTTTGACATATGCCCATATTCCAAACAGAGATTCACCAAAAACAAACCCATTGCAATGTCTTGTCTACTCTTTACGCGGGCTTTAGACAAAATATGTTGCATAAATATGTAACAAGGTGTTGCAATTGGATGTCGAAAATCAGATGTTGAACATAAGTTAGAAACAATTTTAAAGTAGACCAACACTTCCAGGGACGGATATTGTTTGGAATTTTTCTTAAACTCTGCATATTTTTCTTTGATGACATCTAGTAAAATGTTCGACATACGTTCTGCATTTAAATGTATCAAATCAAAGAGTTGAGGCATAATTAGAGAAAGGAATTGGAAATTTTCACGTATATCATCGGGACCAGCATCAGAAAATTTATCATTTACCAACTGCAACAAAAAGGCGAATATTTTTACAACATTTTCACGATTCACACCCTCTAATTTGGGATGATTGCATTTGATTAAACGTTCTACGATAATTGACTGGTCTTGCATTTTGTATTCATTTAATAGTTTTACAAATTCACCATAGTTTTTGGGCATTTCTATGGTGAATGGCAAATCTGTTCTTTCCACATTTGGTTTTTTGTTCACTTCCGTATTTTTTGGCTTTTTGTCTTTGACTGGTTTTTCTGTTTCATTTTCGGAATCTTCACCCTCGGAATCAGTAACTTTCAAATCACTTAAATTATCGTCATCTTCATCATCCTCCTCTTCTTCCCCTTCCTCATCTTCGTCGTCGTCATCTTCCTCTTCACCACTTTCATCCTCATCATGAACAGCCTTCTCTTCATCTTCTTCCGATTCATCGTCAGCACTTCTTGTTTTCAAATTTGTTCCCAATTCACCTATAATGGCAAGACAGTCATTGAATCATTGAATAATTATTAAATATCACCCTTTTAACAATACTTACCTTCCATGGTATACGTCAATGTCCCATCTTCCTCCTCAACCCCATTGGCAAAATAACCATCATCCAAATCATCCGCAGATCTATGTTTAGGCTTGGCATTACTTTCATCATCTTCCCCATCGGCCTTCATCCTTCGTAGACGCTCATTTTCTAGTCTCTCCAAACGTTCCTTTTCTTTTTTGGCCATATCTTCTTCGGATATCAATTTATCGGAGACCACACCTCGTGGTTCAAAAATCAATTCACGAGTCAAACGATCATAGTCATCAGGTTCTTGCTTTTTCATTTCATTCTTAGACATTTTTCCCACCAAACTTATGAGATCCTTATAATTGGAATCAAGCTTTTCAGTGAGATCATAAAGTTCATCCTTTTCCTTGGCAATTTCAACTTTACGTTTCTTTTGTTCAGCAATCATTTCTTCAATTGCAGATTTGCGATCTTTGGCGGCACTGTCATCACCACCGAAATGGGCGGCTTCAGTGAAGGCGGCTGAAATGGAAAAACATCATCATAATCATCATCAAGTTTCCACTATTACAACTATTATAAAACAATGAAATATGATATAGGTACATACCATCCAATTTATCATCCTCCTCAGCTTCATCATCTGAACGATCATCACGAAATTGCTCAATTTCTTCCAGGGTCTGACCACGATGTGTCAACACCTCATCGTCATTTAAATTGAACCGTGAATGTTTGTTCTGCTTCATACGTTCCATTTTGTCGGCCACAAAACGGGCCGCCATCACTTGTTCGGTCAGTTCATCTCCAGTCAAAAACTTTCCAATACGACGATCTTTAAATTTATTTGTTTTATCCTTTCGCAGGAACTCTTGCCCCAAGGTTTCTTTGCGTTTCTTTATCGCCTTGGCCCTGGATACACCGGGCAAACCTTTATCATGTTTACATGTCCTTCCCAGAATTTGGAATTTCTCTTTATTCATGTGCACTTCAAATGGATTGAGTTTTTTCGATGTGGCTGCGGTTGCGGTGGCAAAGGGATTTTCTTTTTTCACGGCCTTTTTCGCATAAACTGCGTCAGCAACAGACGTTTTTGTTTTCTTGGCCATTTTGAATTGGAATTTAATTATATTTTATTTAAGTTTTATTCACTTTTATGTTGGATAAATAATTTAAAACAAGTTTTGTTGCATTTTCAAACTACAAACAAATCGAAAGTGACAGATCTCCGCACGTGGATGAAATATTTGTAAACAGCTGACAAAATAGAGTTGCCACGATATTGTGGTACAGGGTAAGAAAATGTGGTAAACGTATAGTTGATGTAATGTATTCGTAAGAATAACGTATGTCTTAAAGTATATGTGTAACGGCAGACACATTTATTTGAATTAAATGTTTTTTTAATACACGAGTTGCGGCACTTTTCAAAAACCACAAAATTCGATTTGCGTCGTTGCAAGTTCAATTTGCGTCGATCCGAGCTACATTGTGGATTACTATTTTTTGCGTTTACAGTGCCTGATTTAGCATCTTTTCTGTCGTTTAGCATTTTTACAACCTCTGCCAACACTGACCGTCACCTGTACGTTAACAAATGTTCAAATGGCGTGAAATAAGGGGAATTCCTCTTTTCTTTATGATGCTTTATGTACATACATATGTAAATGAATTAAATTTTTGTTAGGTTTTTTACTTAATTTATTGTTTTGTTATTTCCTTATAATAATTATAAACATTTTTGAAGTAAATGGAATAAATAAAAATGTATTCTTACCTGTTTTTTTTATCAAAAATATAATTTGTTTTCTTTGTTTTGAATATTTTCCCCAGTAAATTAAATTTCGTGCATTTTGTATATGTATAAGGTGAAAAAGGTGATTCTATTTGCGTGGAGATGGGTTGATGTGACAAGTTTTGGTTGGATGGCCTGCCATGGGGACTATGTATATGGTTGATGTGCTTGGTTTGGAAATACCTTGATTACAAATTAGGTAATACCGCAATTAGGTAATTTTATATATATTCATATGCTTGATCAAATCCACCTGGCTTGACTTGGCATCATCGCATCGACACAGCTGCTGGGGCAATGAACGATCATATCGATTTTGAAATTGAGCATTTTCAATGAAAAATTATTCAAATTTGTAAAACTTATTAATGTTCCCAAGTGTTATCTACCTGTATTGTTTTTCCATGGGCTAGGCATATTAATGTCCAATTATTAGGAAAAACGATGGGCATCCCTTTATGATATGTCACAAAATATGCTATTTACGATGGGTGATGACAATGGGACATGTTCGATAAAAAAAAAACATTATACAGGATGAGATGAAAAAACTGCAACCAACTTCAGACTGCTGTCACTCGTTCTCCGCTCGTATTAATCGACCGTGGCATCAGAATAAAAGCTGAATATTATCGCAAAAATATTCTGGAGGGTATATTAAGGCCTTGGACAGGCAAACATTTTGGCCGCAGAGCTTGGACATTCCAACAGGACCCAGCTCATCGCATTCAGCACTCGCCACCCAAGAATTGTTACAAAATGAGGTTCTATGAGGACTATTGTGTCTGTAGTATTTTAGAAAGCAAGGTTGGCACAAAAAATTCCAAAGTGTCGATCACCTCAAGCAATCGCTTCGCCGCAGAGAAACATTCGTTTGTAGGCCATTATTCATGTCAAAGGTGACCACTACGAACAAATCTAAACTTATTCTAAAATTTGATCCTATTTCCGAATTTCTTTCATTCAATAAAATAAAAAAATGTAAAAATTATGGCTTTTGACTTTGTTGCAGTTTTTTATCTCATCCTGTATATGTCTCTTTCCACATAAAGGTTTGAGCTGTGATTCTACTGTAACTGGTAATAATATCAACCATGGACCTTTGTCTATGACTGATTTCGGGGTAGAAGGGAACACGTCCTCCGTCTCGATATGACTGATTCGATTATATTAGGTACCTTTTTAAATGGTCCCGCCGTAAGCTCACTGATCTACCTGTCTCAACAAGCGCCTTTCTGCAGAGTTTTTATGGTACACCCGAACCCGAGTTTTCATATTTCGAAAGCTTCTCCCGATTCTATGTAATTTAAAGGTAATCGATTAATTTTGAATTTCTTTTTAGGCACAGTATAAAAAAGTGTTTTTGTGATAACTCCATATTAAGGTACCAACCACAATTCCGAAGTTTTAGAAATAGGTGTGTCTGGTTACCCTAAAATTTGTAACAATTGTTACAAATTATTACTGGATTACTGTTAACCCATAAGTCCTGCAAAAGAGACGGTTGGAGGAGAAATTTTGACAGTTCTTTCAGTGAGAGTTTGCAAATTCTTGCTAGACAAATTTCTTCCTGCAATCACTTGAACTCTTCTTCTTCTCATTCATCGACATTCAATCAGACGATTTCTATTGTTGGTTTATATCTTTTTGTGCTTTCAATTTGAAAATATTTTTTGGTATTAGCTAAACTAATTGTTTTTGGAGAACAACTTTACAAAATGCGAAAAACGTAAATATTAATATGTAATAAGAAAATAAAATTCTATTTTCAACATTTTTAGACAAACGCCACACGTTTAAAGGATTCAGGGGAGCACATAAAATCTATCTTTCTTATACTGTTCATATTATTATTTTATTGCTAATTTCCTTTTTATTTATAATACTTGTAAAATTGGTAGTGCTTCCTTTCTTTTAATGGGGGACAAATTGGTTTGTTTTGACAAATCAGCTGATTAGTTGCAAGCTTCTGCAGAAATACCGTCTGTTTACTTTTCGCCTTTTTATTTCAAAAGAGAATAAAACTACCTTACTGTCTCAGAATGATGTTGTTTGACAATTCCTGCAGGAAAAATAACCAGACACACCTAATGTTTTACAATAGTATTGGTATTTAAGATTATTACAAAACAAATAAAATCTTATAAAACTTATTTATAATGGGTGCATTTGCCATATTTTCAAATCTTTTCATTCTCTAATGACGAAGTGCTTCAAATGTTTCTAATCTACTTGATAATTTAACTTATATTAAGATTATGTCTAAAGATGAGCCGTTTAATTCTCACAAAAAATGTATTTTTTTAAATAAATTTATATTGAGTTTGAGCTGATGACCTCATGTTTCGAATATGAAACACTGTGCCAATGTCACATACATAAAAACCAAATAAACTAAAATATACGGGTGTTATAAACCATTCCCGTCACACAAGTAATGACGAGCCTCTCGCATGGTCACGAATATAGTTGCGTCCGAGAAATATGTTGCTGATAATAGAAAAATGTTTTCATAGCAATCTTGTTCTAATCTGGTACGAACTAATTCTTAAAAAAAACCAAAACCAACCAAATCATAATTAATTGACTCTTTCAATAATTCCAATCATAAATTAGACATATTGTTTTTCGATTACTTTTATTGGAAGAAGTTCCAATAAATACAAATGATATTTTGTCCCCCCATTTGTAATATAAAACAAGTAAGCAAAGGCTACAGTCGAGCGGGGCCGACCGTTGAATACCCTACAACACTATAATAAACGATACAGTTTATATAGGCGAGATACTCGAAAGAATTCCACAAGATATTGTGACAAATAATAAAAGAAAACCATCAGGTTTTGTTCTCTAATTTTCGATATAGCAACTTAAACTAATTTGCTCATTTCCAATTTATTGGTAGATGTTGCACGTAAATGGTCTTCCTAGATCTGGAACCAATATTTCCCAAAGACATATAATCTCTCAGAAGTGGCAAAAGATTAACATTTATTATTGGTTTTTGAAACGCATCTATATGAGATACAGACATTTGACTATATTCTTCAACGAAATCAGCCTTAACGAAATAGTCAGAAGTGCTTCTTTCCAGTATTTGTGAATTCTCCAAAAAGTCACGGGAATGGACATTTTCGTATTTTGTCTACAAAAGTTGGCAAACTATTTCACACATTGAATATTTTTGGATGGCCATCCAAAACTGCTTGGCTTTTGTAATGTCCGGTAACCCCCATTCAAATGTGCGTGAGGATCGGGCGATAATTACGACCTGCTGACAATTTTGCAGTTTTTTGGTCCATTTCAACCCCTAAATATATGGCGATCATCTCCAAAAAGAGTAGGCTTTTATTCTGATCAGTTCAGCCGTTCTCCACATATAAGAGATTTTTCAAGCATATCTTCTTTGACGAACATATATATCGCACATATTTTGCTATATATCCGTTTTGTTGGATGTTAACATCACTGTAAAGATCAGAAGTAACCTTGCAAAATTTCTCCATGCTAAATTTCGTAATTATCGGGCCATAAATGCGATCTGTATATGATATCCTGATATCCTAACTACTTAGTTTTGTTAGCTGTAGAAATATTACCAAATGTTTAATTCAAAATGAAAATATGCCAAAAATATGACAAAATTGAAAAAATGTGAGAAAATTTTACAAAATTAATATTTTCATCTTTAGAGAGATATTTTTATGCGATTTTTTTAGACGTTTTTTCTTTCCTGCCAAGAGGCCATTCTGAATTATTGAGATCTGTCGAAATCAGTTCAGCCGTTCTCGACATATTAGAGATCTTTCAAGCATATCTTCTTTGATAGACATATATATCGCACATATTTTGCTATATATCCGATTTGTTGGATGTTAACATCAATGTAAAGATCAGAAGTAACCTTGTCATGGCTTTGTGATTTCGCCGGGATTTAAAATATTCGCGGTTTATTGAAAAATTTTGAATTTTTTCAACACAAAAGATATGGTCTATTTTAACCGCTAAATATTATCCGATGACCACCCAAATTGGTAGTCTTCTTCCCCGCGCTAAACTCTAACTACATGCGAAATTCCGCGTCGATTGGTCTATAATTGCGACCTGTATAGCTACTGCAAAATCCGATTTTTTTTCAGTATTTGGTCCATTTCAACCCCTAAATATTATGCGATTATCTCCAAAAGAAATAGGGTTCTATTCTGACCATAGCCCCACCTCCATTCTAAATTTCGTGAAGATCGTACCATAATTACGACCTGTAGAGTGATTACAAATTAACATGGACAGACGGACGGACGGACATACATAGCTAGATCGACTCAGCTCGGCGAGATAGGAAGATCCATATATACTTTCCTATGTGGGAAACCAATATTTCGTGGTGTTACATAATTTTTGGCCCAATCAAACTTATAATACCCCCAACACATAGTGTTGTA